GAAATTGAAAGAAGAATATAGCTTTAAAAAAAAAAAAAAAAAAAAAAAAAAAAAAAAGGTTATATCTTTTCGATTCGAATAATTTACAAAATACCCCCATAAGTTAAGATATATGTCAAACTGCCCCTAAAAGATGTGAATAGAGGGGAATACCCCCATAAGTTAAGGGATATGTCAAACTGCCCCTAAAAGATGTGAATAGAGGGGAATGCCCCATTGACAAAAAAAAAAAACTTGTGAAATACCCTTGCCATCAGTTGGACCCCCCATCTTTGCAATACACCCGTACCAAGTACCATCCACCCTTGCAAAATGCCCCCACATTTGACAATTTTTCCAAGGCCCAATAGCAGAAGGCCAAGGCCTAAATGGCGAGGTCCAGATTGTAAATTTGTGCACCGACCAGACGGGGGCATTCACAGAACGATTTTGGCCCAAAAGGGCATTCCACTCTAACAACACCTTTCAGGGGCATTTTGACATATACCTCAAATTATGGTGGTATTTCAGACAAGCCCTGTTGACATATGTATTTTTTCTACAAGTCAGATAGGCAAGCCCTGTTGGCATATGTATTTTTTCTACAAGTCAGATAGGCAAGCTCCCCTTTTTGCTATGATATTGTATATGGAGCACAACTGCTGGAGGGAGTTTTCTCTTCAGTGGTCCCTCCTCGCAGTAAGCGAAGCTTGTCAGGAACTTCTAATTTTGTATCTCATCATCGAAGGATTCAAAGAACAATTAGAGTCAATGCCATAATCTCTATGAGAAACTTTAAGTTAGCAGAGGATTAAGATCCCATTTCTTTTTAAACCACCAGTATTTGGCCCAGCTATCAAGTATGAGCCTCGACCGACCGATATGCCGAGCCTTGCCAAGGCTCGAACTACCGATCGCTAACTTCCCAAACGTGTTCTGAGAAGAACACGGAATAAAGAAAGAAAAAAAAACACAAAATGCAAAAAGCAACTATAGAAAAATGGGATTTACTCTAAAACACATGGAAAAAAAGGGGAAAAAAAACAGGCAATATCGACATGCACAAAAGACAATAATCAAGTTCGTGTATCTTTGCATGTTCTAGCTTGAAGGGACGAGGAGAAGCGCACGAAGGAGCATTTTCGTTTTCGTTTCCATTTTCATTTTCGTTTTCGTTTTCGTTTTCGTTTTCGTTTTCGTTTTCGTTTTCGTTTTCGTTTTCGTTTTCGTTTTCGTTTTCGTTTTCGTTTTCGAAAACGAGTGTGCGCGCACGAGAGA